ATATCTGAACCGCCTTTGTTATCTAAGTCAATATGACTGCTAGTCGACCTATAAGGAAGCTTAATATTTACTTATTTAAATATAGTCGAATGCTAAGATCTTATTTAATTCGATTAGCGAACAATTGTTATATTTTACTCTGGGGATCGGATCAAGTTCCTCGACGTTACAAGACTCGGCGAATGTGTGATGTCAAAGTCTATGTTTGTCAGGTTCATGTTGCTAATTGTCCATGGGTTGCATGTAAGTGATTACCTTCTTACGTAAGGTAAATGTTAAACACGTAAGTACTCAAACATCCTTTGAAATATAATAATTGACATTGTCATTGTTGTGAAAAAAAACTTGTTATTATTCTTGTTACCTACGTGTTATTCATTGCGGTCAAACAAACTTTAAAAACTTTTTAATACGGAAATAAGTATGTCTCTCTTTCATGATTTGGAGCACCACAGGCACAAGTTCTCAGGTTCGATTTTTTCATTTCCGATTTGCAGTGGAAATCAATTAAGTTAGAAGATAGGTACTGACTCTATCTTTAATTTACAATTATGCTTGCTCAATGCGGGTTAGCAATTTAAAACTTATACATAATTAGAAATTATAAGCCCAGGTTTCGTTTATATTGAGCGCCCACGGATGAAACAAGCTACTTAGTTAAATTGGCATAAAAATAACAATACAAAAAAGTTTTACGATCTATCTGTTTTATACTACAATGATGCCATGAATAAATAGGCAATTTTTATGCGTTATTTGTAGCCATTTACAGCGTCGCAGCTCATTATCAATACATTACGTATCTACAATAGAATAGAACCTACATTTCCGCAAAATGTACCTACATACCTATTGAGGGGCACAAAGTTATTGTTGTATTATTTATTCTGTCCTGTCATCATTGCAAGGACACATCCGATGTAGGGATTCATTAAATCAGTTATCGAGGTGATACGTACCTGCTAAAATCACCCGCCACAATAAGCGTGTAGGTACTAGTTAACTAGATATTTTGAACTGTTTCCGCAATTTTAACAGTTTCCGCTATTTCCGTATCAAAAACATAGGCTGTTGTTTGTTGGGGTCTTAGTGTCTACTACCTACTACTACCTACTTTAACAAAGGTCAGATCATGAAGTTTGAACTCTTTTAGTATAACATGTATAAACAAAGTGACTGGAGTTTTTATGGTTTTGTAGGTCTAGTGGGTACATCTTATTAACTTATAGCTACTTCCGCGCGGTTTCACACGCTCTGGTCAGCTCCTATTGATTGTAGCGTGATGTTTTATAGCCTATAGCCACCCTCGATAAATGCGCTATCCAACACAAAAATAATTATTCAAATCAGACTTGTAGTTACGGAGATTTATGCGTTCAAAGTTTCAAACAAACAAACAAAACACAAACTCATCGGCTTTATATAATAGTATATCAGATTAGCTTCTGCCAGTGGCTTCACCAGCGTGCCCAGGTGTATGAGGTAGCCTACCTGTTACTCCGGACCATAATCTACATACATACATACATACTTACATAACTTCACGCCTGTCTCCCCATGGGAGAGACTAGGGAACGCCAATTACGACGATTCTTACATACCTCTTTCGCTTCATCAACAGTCATCAATATTTTCATGCATGCTCGTCGGTTAAGGGTACTTTTAATTTGGCCCTTCTTTAATGTAATATAATCTACCTCTGATCTAAAGTTTATTCTGGTCCCTTCAGCGGTTTCTTTATTCTTTATTCTTTATTTTATTCACTAGTTGCATATTTGGTATCAGTATCGATCCTTTGGTATCAGTATGACTGCCTCATTGGCCGAGTGGTCGCAATTGCGACTGCCGGGCAAGAGGTCTCGGTCTTTTTTTTTAAGGGGGGAAAATCATCGAATGACTTCTCCCGCCTGGCTGACTTAAAACCACCCCGTTCTTTCTCCTGCACGTTGAGCCGGAGCCCCGGTTACCCGTTAGGTTCTCCGCCACAAGGGGTCTCGGTCTAGGGTTCGATTCGCGGGTCGGGCAAAGTATTACTGGGTATTAAAAAATATCTCATTAGTAGTACGGAGTCTAGAATTGTGTCCGATATATGGCAATAGGCTCAGCCCCTATTACATCGGACTCATAACATAAATAGTGAAAAGTGGGTGTTACATTGTGCAGTGGCATAATGTGCACCTCTGCCTACCCCTTCGGGGATAAAAGGCGTGATGTTATGTTATATTGTTGTTGTTATCAATCCTCAATCACCCCTGATAGTTATTTTGGAAATATATTTCATGTACATAATTGACCTCTTTACAGATTTATTATAAGTAAGTATAGATAGATAAAAGGTATCATAAGATTTAGTTAAAGTCTTTATCTTAAAAGCAAAGGTAACTTGGTATTTGTATTGGGAGATCTTATCTTGAGATTAGAGCATAAGACCCTTCACTGCTTCACACTCGTTAAGACGCAATTGATTGCATACTGCAGTTGACTTGTTAGCCATGACCGTGGCCCCGCAACCTTGTTTTAATTATCCGCATAATCCAAAGAACTATCCATCATATTATTTATTTATTCAATCAAAAGGTACAGGGTTTGACTTATAATTCATATAACCTCCTCTATAATTATCCTAATCCATATATTACTTACTTAATTTATCGATAAATAAACATTTTTGCATTGTAATATTTGCATGTTTCAATATTTATTTATTACTAGCGACCCGCCCCGGCTTCGCACGGGTGCAATATGCATGTATTATACATACAAACCTTCCTTAAGAATCACTTTATCTATTAAAAAAAACCGCATCAAAATCCGTTGCGTAGTTTTAAAGATCTAAGCATACATACGGACATACAGCGAAAGCGACTTTGTTTTATACTATGTATTGATTATTCATAAAATATTAATTTTAGACATTTTTCCAGTTCGACATGTCAAGTTCTTAAAAAAACCTTGTCTTAAAAGCCATATTTGTATGTATGACGTGCAGCTGAATGTATTATAATATGTAGGTATTATGTTATGTAGAATTAGATGTTTATTACTTATAAATTTCAAATTCAAAGGTCATTATAATTTTTATACGATATTTACCTAAGTACGTACTTACTAATTATTGATTAAACAGAATGTAGCAAAAATTGTATTTAGAGCCACTTAACTACGAGTAACTACGTAACGACTATCTACATCAAATATGAGAAGGCCTTAGATAAAATACACATAAGAAAATGCTTTATTATAACCTAAATCTATTATGGAAGAGAAAAATCTGTATAGACAAGTGGGCGCTCCATAGACAGTCCATAGTCATTCCCTGTAGATCTCGAGACTCACCTGGAACTTATTAATGAACAAAAAAATGTTACTTACATTATTTTAAGCCAGCGCTAATCTGTAGAGACTTCACCTTGCATTTATATTATAATTTGATTTGGACTACTTTTGTATTTGGATTATGTGTTTGATTTGATTTGATTGAATTTCTCAGAATTTGACTGGTATCTAATACCTACTTACAAGATATTTTTATGGTGTTTGTTTATTGATATTGTTATTCATGATCTTTGTTCACTAACTCAAAGTCTATACAAACACACCCTGTACCGTACCTGTACAACTTTGAAGGACAACAGTCACTGGGTATGTCCTAACTTTGAAAGAAGTTGAGCTCGGTGAAATATAAAAAATAATATGGATACGTGTCCACAAAAGAACATAATTATTACGTTTTCGTCGTCTCCAAAAAATAGTTCTGTGTTATGAACTTCCTTGATAGTAAAATCTGAAGCATTCGTTTTAAAATTCTTTATTTTTGCGACGTGCTCTGACTTAATAAGTACTTATATTGTGCTTATCTGACGGTTCTATTGTTAGTTTTTTATGCTTACTTGCTTAGATTTAGAACAACCCGCGCATATTTCTAGGTAATGTAGTAGTAGTAGGTAGGGAAAAATAGGACATGGTTGCAAAGTAACGTGTCCAATGTGTCGCGGAGAACCTAACGGGTAACCGGGGCTCCGGCTCGACGTGCAGGAGAAGGAACGGGGTGGTTTTTAGTCAGTAAGAGTCTGACACTCCCTTCCGCCTCACCCAGGCGGGAGCAGTAATTCGATGATATTCCCCCCTTAAAAAAAAAACGTGTAAAACGTGTTAACGCCGCCGTTAACCAACAAAAAAGTAGTCGACTGCGCACGTCTGGTGGTTCTAGAAAAACTTACAGTATATAATTATTGTATATTTAAAAAAGCTAAGTCAGACGTTACAGCACACGATTTTTTCTCCTAGTCATAATTAAGCAATACACAGTTCCTTAATTGCCCGATTACTATTTTAATAACTGAAGGTCATTTTTTATTCTAGATTCTTGTCGACACTGATTTTTGTGCTATCTTGCATACAATGAAGGCAATCTTGAATGTTTTGCGATACACGGATACAACCACTTACAAGTTCAACGGAAAATCACTGTAATGAATTTATTTTTAAATGAATCAAAGCATTAAATTATCTCGTTTAAAATAATAGCCGCTTAATGATTCGATAAATATAAATACAGTAGCTTCTGCTTGCGACTAGTTCGCGCAATCCTGTACCTACCTATTTTTCCGTTTCCGTAGGATTTTTGGGAAGTCCTTGGATCAAGATTATCATATAGCCGTGTCGTCTCCTGGTGCTAAGCTACTTCTCCACTAATGTTCATGCAAATCGATTTAGCTGTTCTACAGTTATAAATAGTGTAGTGTAACTAATGCCGGAATACTGAAACGTTACGCAATTTTAAGTTGTGCTCAAATATCGTGCCATCTCTGTCATTTTACAAAGAATTTGTAGAGATAGAACTATACTTAAGCACGACTTAAAATTGAGTAGCGTTTCAGTATTCCGACATAACACTATCTTTTATTATATAGAAGATTTTAATAGGTAGCGATTTCAAAAATTTCAAAAACATTTTTCTTGGCCCCATAATGTAATTAAGTTTTTTTTTTAATTCTCAGGCATGGACATTCCAGACTTGAGTGAAAACGTTCAGCTGTCACCCTGCACCAAACCTCCCTGTCGGCTCAAAAAAGGAACCAATCAGTCCATCACCATTAAGTTCACGCCAGGTAAGCATGGAATGGAAGCATTGTTAAACTAGCAAGATGTAAGTGGAATGTGGGTCGAATTAGCGACTGCAGTATAAAACTGTGAGAATTTTGCGTAACTGTTCTAGAACAATAGGATTTGTAGTTCCGTAAATAAAAGGTTGCTTTACGGTCTCTCTGAGACACAGAAATGGCAGACGTACATTTTGTAAATATAAAAGAGGAAAATCTGCGTAAATACTAAATACGCAAGTAACTTTCACCGTGTCTGCACCTACAGCAAGCTTTATTATGGTTTCCATGTTCTATAAAAATTCATTTGCATCTATTTGTCGTAGAGAATTAGGGATACAATTAGGTAATACTAAATTGAACTGTGAAATAATGCTAGCGATGATGTCATCATGTTGCTTTTGAATATTTGCGTTTATTATTTTCGTAAGTGCTAATAAAATTACTACATGGGTTAGTGTTAGTTGGTCTCGGAAGTAATCGTACTATACAGCACTTGCATTCGCGACCACAAACCCAACAACCTCAATTACCTTTATTTCCTAGAACACTATAATGTAATACACGAACACAATTTAATACGTTTTCCTCGTGTCATAAACATGACCATTGAACAATTTCTTGTGTCTACGTATAACTTGTTACATACTTAGTACTTACAATTTATATTGCGGTTTGTTCTCTTTGTATATATTTTTATTAACTTCCGATTAAGCAATGAATAAAACTCGTTATTTTAATGACGTATAAAGACCGTCACACACCTAGCTATAATATATATTTCTGTGATGTCACCAAAATATATTTTAGTACCTATATTAATATATTTTGGGGATATGGGTGTTCCATTGATTGATTGAACACCCGAGTTCGTGGAATATATATGCGATACCTTGAAAAATTTGAACACCCTATACGGAAAATAAACTACAACCCCGCTTTTGAAAATCCCTATAATTTTACAATAATGTATACAATGTTGCTGTTCATAATAGTGGTTGGAGTTACCGAGTTCTTTGGTACGTACATACCGCAAAATAAATCGAGCGAGTAAATAAGTACCATATTGAGAAATAGGTAAATATGATCGGCAATATATGTCAGTGTAACTATTTACGCCATATTTAACAAACGTGGATTAAATGGGCTTTGTTATTTTGGATGCTTTATAATTATTTTTCTGCGTTGTTATGCTTATAATAACAGTCAATAAATGGACATATATTCACTCAAATAAATTCTAAAATATTCCCATTTCATATCCGATTCATGATAATGAATTAAATTGCCTCCACCTTCATGTATGTACACCCAAGACCACGGGTTAGTTGTACAGTAATATAATTTTCACATATTTTGACAAATACGGGTGTCTCGTGTTGTTGTATGTACATATATACCTTGACTAAATGAAAAATTTGTACAATTTTGAACATCCCATAAACGTGCAGAAAGTAATCTGAAACCGTGGGAAAATACATTTTATAGTATAGTTCAGTCTATGACAGGTAGCTATACTATAATATACATTAACAAATATTATAGCTAGGTCTGTAACGGCCTTAATAAATGTAGGTATCCATGTACAATTATTTTCTACATTTTGTTAGCTAGGTACTCATTTGTAGTTACTAGAATATTAAAATTATAGTGTTTGCTCAGTTTAACCTGTTCTACATGCATATTTAAAGTATAATTTTATACTTTTACAGGCAAAGACCTCAATGACGTCAAGAACGGCGTGTCCGCGGACATCGGAGGAGGTCTGTTGGTGCCGTTCTTAGGAGTGGACGGAAACTCCATCTGTGACAAAGTGTTCACAGAGAATGGTGACAAAGCCAGCTGCCCTCTGAAATCAGGGACTACATATCTATATAAAGACAGCTTCCCTATCTACGCCATCTACCCTTCAATAAAAGTCAAGGTACACTGGGAACTGAAAGACGACAGTGGCGACATCACCTGTTTCGAAGTTCCCGCACGAATTGTGTAAATTCCATAATACAAAGCTACACAAGTCTTCTACCTAAAGTACCTTATTGAGTATTTATGAAATTTCACAGTTATAAATCCTACATAACCCATAAGTCAAGCTCAAAAGAACAACAATATTTCAAATATTCTGAACAACAATAGATTGTAACTTATTACGAAATCTATGTTGTTTCGGATTGAACTGACAAGTAATATTTATATATAGTAATGTTTTAGTATATTATTATAAAATAATTTTAGGTTTATGTAGGTAAGTGAGAAGAAGGTCGTGGAGAATAATTTTTTACTTTGTTTCAAATGCCATTACAAATAATTAATTAAATATAAAAAAATACAAAATGTGTTTAATTTAATTTATAATAAAATTTATAATTATTTAAAATCTTTTTAAAATCCAAAACTATTGTCTGGATCATCGTAAAAAATAGGGAGTACATGAGTACTTGTAAGTTGTACGAGTACATATCACAATATTTTATAGTTATTTGTTTTCACAATAAGTAAGTTAATTTTTCTTACCAGCTGTAATAATTGCTGGTACTTCAAAGCATATTAAGCTTTTTTTACCGTCTTTGAGATTCCAGTGCACTCTTAGGTTGACTGCGGGATAGAAGGGCTGTACTGGAAACACGTTTGTGTAGACGTAGTCTTGGCCGGCCGGTAGAGGGCACGCCACCGCCTCCTGCGTGTCGGCGCGCTTCACATTGCCGCACGCATCCGTACCGTCGACTCCAATGAACGGTAGAGGTACACCGGCAATGTTCGCGTGCACTTCGTTCGTAATTGACTTAACCTCTTTTTCTGAAATTAGACACATTGACGTGTGATCAAAGTTACTCGTATAATCAAAATTACTTGTTTAATCTCACGGGTACGACTTTGAAAAATTAACAAATATTTTACATTTATTATCAACTGTGATACATTTGTATAGTCGACTGCACAAAGTACATCATGATTACAAATAACAGCTTATAATAAAGTCGCACTTCTCAATCTCATCAACATCTACTTTTGGCCTGTATTTTAGAGTTTATGAGTCCCGTATAATAGGAGATGAGACTATTGTCATAAACCGACTCCATGTTATTACATTAAAATTAATGTAAAACGGAAAATTCTTTAGATTTTAATTTGAATCGAACCCGCGGCTAGTTAGACACGACCTTGAATATGAATTAGATTTTTATAAGTTATTTCTATAAACATTATAACCACAGAATATATTTATATGTTCTGTGGTTATAACAATAGATATAGTAGTAATAGCTACTGACTTAACAAATTTAATTTCGTCACTACACATTATTTGTAAAATGACATATATAGCATAATATTTAAGTACCTACAGCGTAAAATAAGTCGCATTTCAGTATTCAGGAGTATCTTAAAATAATTATTATATAAATAATAATATTATTATATAAATAATAAAATAATTATTATATAAATAATAATTATATAAACTGACTTAACTGATGATAATTGATACTTGATGACAACCCAATCTATAAGCCTTAATGGTATTTACGTTGCGGTGAATTACTACCGCCACGGCTCGTAATGCGTACCGCATACGTCGTAGCCCTTAGCACGTAGTTTGTATCGCGAAGTACTAAGTATAATACTACGAGTGAATGACTACGCGCTATGAAATACTAACTACGCGTTACGAGTGCATGACTACGCGCTACGAAATACTAACTACGCGTTACGACTGCTTGACTACGCGCTACGAAATACTAACTACGCGTTACGAGTGAATGTCTACGCGCTACGAAATACTAACTACGCGTTACGAGTGAATGACTACGCGCTACGAAATACTAACTACGCGTTACGAATGAATGACTATGCGCTACGACATACTAACTACGCGTTACGGGTGCATGAATACGTGCTACGAAATACTAACTACGCGTTCCGAGTGAATGACTACGCGCTACGAAATACTAACTACGCGTTACCAGCGAATGACTACGCACTACGAAATACTAACTACACGATACGAGTGAATGACTACGACTAAGAACTACGCACTACGTGATATTAACTACGCATCACGAGCTAAAATCGATGTGCTACGCGCATTAACAAACCGCTACGAACTATGGGCTACGAAAAGCGCTACGCGGTAGTAACTACGCGCTACGAACTACGGGCTACGATCTATAGATTATGCGTTTCTACCAACGCGCTGAGAGTCGCGACGTATGCACTACGCGCTACTAACTACACGCTACGAGCTTACGCTTGTATTTCGCCGCAACGTAAGTGTAAAATTAGAACTTAGATTTAGGGTTGGGCTAAAACTTGGCTCTATACGAGTTCCGTCTAAGCAATATTTTGCATAAAAAGTTTTGTATGGGATTTTAAAATCTAATGCTTATATAATAAGGTGATACTTAATGACATATTTAGATTATTCAAGACTCAAGCGAATCTGATTGTGTTTTCTTGCTTTTTTTTTATTCTATGATAGAGGCACCGGTCAGAGTCGGAAACCATTGTGTCTCTGTCTGACCGAATTCGACGCACGCTTGCTCGGTTTTATGTATATATAATGGGCAAAATTAATTAATTAATCAATGTCTTTATTGATATATAACATAACATACATAACCTCACGAATTGTCTCCGATGGGGGTAGGCACCAACTATCGAACGCCAATTGCTACGATTCTTACATTTACTTTACAAGTGAGACTCGGTAAGAGGGCGTTCGACAAAAATCACGAAACATCACGAGGCGGAATGGGGGTTCAATAAAATATCACGTATTTATATTTCCGTTAAACACGATATATTTTAATAAACCTTAAAACGGGGCGTCGTGTGGGTTTATACCACTTCCTAACTCCAAGAGATAATCACCTATGTATTTCTAAACTTTAACAAATTTTGATTTTAAATAAATACAGGTGTTGTTGCGTGGGGGTGTGGTGTTATTTAGAAGCTCACCCCATATAGCCAAGGAAGAGGGGGTCCAAAAAACGCTAAAAAACCTCACGTGATAAATGACGGAACCATTACCTCTTTCGCGTCATCAACAGTCACCTTTTGATTGATCTGCGTATTAATATACCTACTTACATAGGTAAGTAAAATGTTAATGTATTTTAGATGCAGTGGTACTCACTTGGAGTGAATTTGAATACAACAGTGATGTTGCTGTTCTTCGGGAGCTTGCAGCGAGTTTTGCCGCACGGTGTCACCTGGATCCTCTCCTGCAAATCCTCGAACGATTCTCCTGGAACAGGGCGACGTTTTGCTTCAGACTCAACAATTTTAATAAATCATAGGTATTAATTAACTTCTTCTGATCTTCTATAATATAAAAATGAATCGCTGAATGTGTTGCTAAGCACAAATCTCGAGAACGAAATCGCTAATACTTTTTTGTAAAATAAAGAAATATTTTTTCTGCGATTTAGAAGTACTTACCTACTGTAAGTCTAGTCGTAAATACTGAATAATTAAACTTAATATCTAGTTATAAAATCCCAAACTACCTAATGTGGCTACTGTATCTACATATCGCACCTACGGTGAAATATCGTCACTTATGCAATTTTTGTCAAAACTTAACTGATTATGAAAGAATACTCCAAATTCACTTCTTTACTTGGTGCGTTATTGTCATTTGTGTAGTAAGTAAACTGACATTGTGAGGGCTTTACTGTCGTTACGGTTTTGGCGCTAGTCTGGACGGCACTAGGAAAAACAACGTTTCATTGTTCAGTTGCTCGCGGGCCCCCGCAATACAAAAGTGACGGTATAGCACCGGAGGTACGATATGACGAGTTACGCACACTAAAAGTTGAGAGTGCCTAAGGCAGTAGTTAGTTAGCGTTCAAATAGCAAAAATCTATTTCTATCTTGCAGCACACGTCAAAAATGTTTTTTCATTGTTCTGTCCAATGTTTAAAAACTTCCGAGTGTTCATTTTAACGCCGCTGCACCATAAGCACAAGCCAATGGTTTTCGTAGATACTGCTAACCACTAATTGCCAACACAGCTTTATATAGGTAATATCAAAATTTCTTAGACTTAAATCATTCAATAAGAAAAATAATGAACAATTTAATAAAGTATGTCTCGTTCGTTACACAAGTAAAGAAACCGGTCGGCTTTACATACGCAACAGCCAACAACGAAACCATAACTTTACGTAATGACAATCTGTTTCAAGATCATTGTGTTAGTGTGTCTCATACCCGGGCACTGTTCCGATGGTGTGGCATGGCTGTACACTGCTGACAAAACTATCGCAAACACCACAGCAACGAACCACACTTTGTACATATTCCTCATTTTGAAGTTGCACCGCAAACACAAAGGCCAGTTACGTAATTATAAAAAGAAAAAGTAATATTTAAAATAATAAGGTGTGACTTATATCACACACAACGAACGAGGACTTCAGGCAGTTGTGAGTATAATGTAACGCAGAACTGTTTTTATACCTCAGTGTTATAAGAAACAGAGGCGTTAACAAAAAATTCATAAATATTTATAGGTTTAAAACTTGTTTTATGGATATACTCGCCGAGGTTGTTCCAGCTGATGCGTCCAATATGTTGATGCCGCGGAGGTGCAGTGCGATGCAAAGGTGTGCACGTCTTTACCTGATTGTCTATACCTACCTATAGGTACCTACGGATACATCTAAATTGGTAATTACCATGTCAAAAATTAATAATCATACGGAGGGTTAGGCGTAGACCGTCATCACCTTACAGATTATTCTGTAACCAGCGTAGGTACTGACACATTCTATGAGCATAAGAAGTACTTGATCAGTACGTAAGCAGGTATCTGTTTTTCTGAACATAAATAAAGAAGTGAATGTTTTAGAATATGTTACGAAAAGAATGAGAGAAAGATGTGTGGGTGGGGGTATCCCCACTCCAGAATTTTTACGTTTTTAAGCGTTTAAAAAAGACAAAGTTCTTTTGCGTCAACATGTAAAAAATGAACAAAAAGTATTTGTAATGGCAAGGTTAAGGTTTGGAACATATCTACACTAAACTGCCTAATTACAAATATTTACCTGATGTGTCATAGTGTGTGCAAACTGATTATAGGACGGAGTTAATTAACTAAAGTTTTATAATTATTAGTTCCCTCAACATGTTTACTTCCGCCATTTAACACATATACAACATGTAACGTAATTAACGCACACCCTCAAACACCCCAATTAGAATATTATGTTATAATCACAATACATACACTAAATTTTTAATTTAACATGTATATGCATCCTTACTGGTCTTGTCATAAGGTTTATTTTTCTTTATTTTGTATTGAATGATAGAAATTGTAGGAATACAAATAAAACTGCGATTTTAAAAGTCTTGTTGCTTTAACTTACGGTCCATTTCGATTTATTTTAACAATACAGGGTTAATATGACAATAATTTCCGTACTTTTAATTATTTTTGGGATAAAAAATTTCCTATACTAAAAATTATATAAATCGATTCAGTTAATGATTCTGAACAAACTATTTTCAGGATGTGCGTTATTTAAGTTACATGTTGTATAGTTCTAATAATGAACAAGCATAAACCCATAATAACAAAGAAGATTCCAAGGAACCAAAAAACAAAATTTTATTTCATAATGATACAAAATGTAAAGTTGCAATAAAATTATTTGAAATTAAAATGTTAAACTTAAATGTTATGAGGCAGATTTAATACTTTTGTTATTTTAAAACTAAATTATTATCATTATGTACAATATTAGTAGCTAAATTTTAATTAAAACGAGTATACCAGCTTCAATGACATCACTTCATATTGAATAATATTGATAACTTCAATACAAGAATACTTTACACATATACTTGATGAATACTAATATTTATTTTGAGGTTTGATGAAATAGCGATATGTATACATAAATATTGGCTAAATCTTCGCCGACATCTGTGTTACACATGACCCTTTCAATGACAAGTTTACCTTGAACATACTCAGGTCAGTTAGACTCCGGAACCTGTTACACTATTACTGAGCATTGTTTTTGTTTTTCTCGAATGTTATTCAAAATACCGCATTAGGAGACTGCACGGCTCGCCCAAGAGCGCAGCGCCTTGCTCCCATGTGGCGCGTTCAATTCCCGAGTGTGTTTTGTATGTTAAATAATTTATCATCCCTAACACAGGAATCGAATCATCAGCCTTTTGGAACTAGAGTTTCATACTATCAAAAACAAATAGCCGATAATATGAAAGCGTATCAACTCTGCATAATAATAAATCATTGCCTTGGTCCAAGTTCAGATAACAAAACGACCATTGAAAATATCGACACTAATTTTATCAAATACAAAGCAGATCGGAGTTGACCTTAGTCGTGACCTTGATAACAAGTTAATTTAGCTTGACGCGAGATATCTATCATAGTTATATCTATTATAAACAATACAATAATTGTGTCTATTAATAATATTCTTTTGTTCCATTCTGCACGAAGATTAAAACTTTATTACAATAGAAGTTAAAACTATTTTAACAATTACTTTTGTCTCGAGTTCGAAACAATTACACCTGTTAAGTAAGCTTCCCAATGGTGAAAGAACTTTTCGAATCGATACAACAATTAAGAAATAATTCTTCTTTATAACATTGACGATTATGTTAAAAGGTTTTAGATTAGTGTGTACCTGGGTGAGTACCCAATACTTTAATTAGCAGGTCAGTGGAAATCTTTGACAATGTCTCGGTTATATGATTCGAAACCGGTTCATATGTCGAGTGTGAGTATTGTGTGACTGCTTCACAATATAGATTCGTAAAGTTGACATTTAGTGGTGGTATTCATAAGTAACTATATAATTAATACCAACAATATAATTTTATTACTTTCCTATTCTGGTCGACTATAATAACTTCTTGAATCTTAAATAGTAATATTATAATTCTACAATCTTTACTTGATCTGAAATAAGGATAAAAATACTTTAGTCTTTTCTTAATTCTTGCATTTTACAACTGAGATTTTGAAAGATAATTACTTAACTATTATAATTACTATGTTCCAGTAAAACATTTTATATGAAAATGTGTTTTGGAATTCTGCATTTTACATTTACTTATCCAAACTATACAACTATGAGGGTTACAGTGAGATACCTTACATAGAGAGCTATCTTAAAACCTAATAAACAAAAGTTATATAGACAAATATTATTTATCACTTGTATTGTGACATTAGGTATATATTAATAACACATCTCCTAATCTTATCAGCTACTTTGTGCGGTCAATGATTTGTTGTTCCAAGCCTTATCACGCCTGTCACACATGCTCATACTCATGAGTCCAGAACCCCATACACAGATATTTTATTTCTAATTCTATCATATTACATTTATCTGGATTTCATAGTATCTGTCACACAAGAACTGGAATTGAGTATTACTAATATTTAACTCATTACTGTAATGCTAGATATTGTAATGGCCGGTACATGTATCGACTAATAATTATGTTTCTCCATGTAGCAAAACTCTATATTTAGTAAACAATATACAAAGGCAGAAGTGAACACATAAATCGTACTTACTTTTCACTGATTTTGTTAGAAAACTTATGATCATAATTACCATAATTATGTGGTCATGTCCAGCTCAGGTTTACTCTTACTTAATAATACTATCGGTATTACATTCATTTAACATTTGTTAAAACTACTAAGAAAACAGCTAAAACTATAAAGTTATACTCTTACGAAATGGGCGCTTTTCATAAATAATTGTTTATAACAAAAAAAAATACTTTGTTGTCTTATTAATGCAAGGCTAGCTACATAATAAATGGTATATAAGTAATATGAAATAAAACCCTGATATGTTTCATCGTATCCTTATGCAACGATGTGGCGCTATCTGTCGGGTGGAGGATATAAATGGCTGAATGTCTTTGTTGGAACTTTAAGGAAAGCTTCCTTCAAGTTGCCGCAGTTGGAGGGGGACGCCTCGGTGAAATACCTGTCCATGTTTGTAAGTACATACTTCGAAGGATCCGTCCCGATCTCGTACTCATCTATCGCACGATATATTGCCTGAAACAATAGACAAGTCAGGTTTAATTACCTCTCTGCAACGCTTCTCGTTATCATCATCAATTAGTAGATTGCGCACATATCAAATGTAAAGTACCTACGCGTCGTACATAGTAACAAAAAATGATTTGTGTACTTTATGAAGCTCCATTAAAAATGGTCATAACTATAATTGTACCATGTAAATCAAGTTGCTACCAAAATAGATGAATCAGTACATACAACAGTTTCATTATAATGACGTCTTAAAATTCAAGGGCAAAAATCTCATATTTTTAGATAGAGTTGACAAAACATTTTTGTAAATCTTGGCCTTGAAAATATTAAAAAGCGATACGAATCTTTATGACGTGGTATGTAGACATTTCCAGTTTATTATGCTCTGATCGAGGTTGACCCCTGTTTTAATTGAAATTAAGTTTTTCGCGTTTCTATTTTGAGCTGTTTTATTTATTAAGACTAGCTACTCCCGCGCGGTTCCACGCTCTTTGCTCGGCTCTTAAAGAGCGTAGCGTGATGTACTTATTATAGCCTATAACCTTCCTTGATAAATGCACTACCCAACACACGAAACAAACTAAGCTTTATATAATAGTAGAAGATGATAGATACATTATGGATTTAAAGCATTATTTGTTTAGCATAACAACAAGATATAAAATTTCTTTTCTTTTTTCCTGACGGGAAAGGAACATATAACACCCTCTTTTCACCAGTTACGATTTTTTAAGGGGGGAAAATCATCGAATGGCCTATCCCGCCTGGGTGAGACGGTAGGGAGTGTCAGACTTACTGACTAAAGACCATCCATTTTCCTACTCCTACATTTCGAGCCGGAGCCCCGGCAACCTTTTATGTTCTCCGCGGCTCTGTATCGGCATCAGCCCTATTGGGCCTCATCCGTGATGGTCTGATGGCTCTTTAAGGCGCGCGCGGTTCACGACGCGCCGTACGCTCGGGTCTGGTTCTGGTCAGGCGGCGAGCTAGCCGTGCTCGCCGACCGCAGGACTGTGCTTACGGTGGCCGGAGATCGTCCCACAATCCTCGACCAGTTACGATAAGAACCCCATGCAAGCCAGAGCAAGACAATGAGTAGGTACCAAAGTTTACTCCTTTATAACCTTACTAGATGTAATTCCGAACTCCATACTAATACGAGCTATGGAATTAAAGACGTGTCACGCTGCTCAGCAGGCGCACTGACGACCTCTCACTCGTCAGATAGTAAGTCTACTACTATAAAAAGAGGGTTACCTGAAAGGCTGGTTGCTTATTATTATGAAATGCTCTCCGACTGCCGTGCAGCAGAAAAATACCGCGGTCAGTAGCGTCGGCACAGGCGTCACCGTACATACACTGGTCAGTGCGGTAGTTGTACCTGCACGACAACACGTGCACTGCACGCTCGTGGTAATGAAATATTATATTTATTATGTCCTGTAAACAAACAAATAACTATGTCACTTAAAATTCAAAATTTATGTTACGATAATGCAGTGTATCTATAAGTCTACCAGAATTTCAAAGTAAAAATGAAAACAAAACAAAATGAGGAAACAATGTTATTCACCTGATCACCCCAAGGTATATAGAGCTTCCATTTCAACATTATTGGAGTGACATATTCTACCCAGCCAAATGTTCGCATTCTTGTCAAGTTCATTAACATCACACCAGAGTTGAGGCCTACAACAACATTTATTAATTTATCAATATCATAGAATAAGTGTGAATTACTTTTTTATTTAAACTGTCAAACACCAAGTGGTCACCAGTGACCGCAACCTATTGTTCTATAATTGTGTCTATAATGACGGTACTCGACGAGTTAAATTAACATTTATATATTATTTAATTTTATGTGTAGTCTGATCTGTGGAGCACTGAAGGGACAAGACTATTTAAATTGTACTAAACATATTTTCAATTTGTTTCAAATATTTCTGAATATACAAATTACAACATTCCTTGCAATTTGAAAATCATACTCTTTATAATCATGCATTCTTATTGGGGTTTTCACTGATTAAATATATATACTGTGCAAAATTAAGAAGAAAACAATGTTTCTTACCAAATTTGCCATAAAATGGATGTTTCGCAAATCTCGGATACCAAGACACATTAGGGTTGTCGTCTTCAAGGGACATTGCAGACATCTGTGAGGAATTGAACTGTGTGAAGTACTGCCACAGCTCCTCTACAGGTCCCAGGAACAGGGTGTCTGTGTCCACATATATCATAGCATCTGTGTCAGGTATCAGTTCCTGAAACATTCAGAAGAAAAACTCTATAAAAATATGTTTCAAAAATTACAAAAACAGTATTCAATATTTTGTGTTATTTACATTACAAATTATATATTTTTCTTACAGGAATAAATAATCGTTGAGCTGCACATTTGCTAAATAGGTTCATCCAATCTTGCTCATGTTCTTGTGGAAAGCTTACTCTATGAAGCTCAAAATCCAGCTGGTTATTTGTAATTTGCTTCCATTTTGTTAAAGTTTCATCGAACTTTGGTCTTAAATTGTCATCAGCGAATATTACGAAGTGTACGTGAACTCTTGTAAACAGTAACACGGACTTAACCACGTTCAAGGATTCGTTGAATCTCGAGTCACATACTACGAAAGACAGTACAACCTTCTCTATCTGTGTAGGTTCATTGCTAATAGAAGCCCTGAAAATTAAAATTGTGTAGTTTAGAGATTTTTTAGCCCTATTTTCTTATTCCTATTAACTATTTAAACATTCTAAACTTACTTTGAAGGCACAGGCCGCTCGTTAACAGCATATTTATTGCTACTGCTAACTTTAGAATATAAATATAAAACAGTGAACGTACTCAATAACATAAAAATCATAAACTTAAGTGAGAACCTTTTCATATTTTATATTTGTGTAGAAAATTTAAAGAAATTCACAACATACTTTTAATTTACTTCAGTAACAACTATTGACAACAACAATAATAAATTGTTTTTCTATCAATGTTGGTAGCAGTGTTTATCTGTCAAAGTTTTAATTAGTGTGGAGCTGTGTAGACCATGTATTTTGACCTTTTGAGGCCACAACCACAGGATCATGAATCATGGATCATTTTTGATCCATGTTTTCTCTTTGTTGTTCCATGTTCGGACAGGAGCTCGAAGTTCAACTTTTTGGGATCAAGGAAAAATAGTAAATTATGATACCTTATTATTTTTACGTTCTTTAGTCAAATATTTCAAGAAAGATTTTGTAAAGCAAGTGTTTTCTATTATCTGTCTGTTCAATGTTCATAAATCATACGCTTCTCAGGAGCCTTGCTTGTCAGATTAAAGTTGTGGTTTATTCTATTCTATTCATTATTATACTTTTTAGTTCAACCCAACTTTGGGTCCATTTCACAGACTACTTAGTAGGTACTTAGAGATATTAATATTATGTCTATGGTTCATATGATGATTGATTCATTGATCAGCTGTGTACTGTCAACTTGACACGACACTGGCATTGCAATCATTGCATTGTCAATTTTGTGATTGTGTGCGGTGGTGGTAGCCAAAGAGTATAATAAGTATAGGGGGTGGTAGCGATAGGCCGGTTGTTGTTGAAGCGTGTTTATTTTAGAAAAAACTAAATTTTATTTCGCAAAAGTTTCATAATGAGTGTTAAAATTGAAGATCAATTAAAGGAAAAAATATTAAATGTCGCTAAGAAGAACCCAAAAGGGATTTCGCATAAAGATATAACAGCAGCAATCCCTGAAGTATCTTCTGCTGAACTAGTACCGGCCATCAATGAGCTATTACAGCAAGAATATTTCGATTTGTTTAATCAAAATGGTGTGCTTGTCTATAAGTAAGTTACCACCTACATTCAGAGACGTACGTCGCACCGGCATCGTGAACGTCCGACACATTGTGATAACAAATAATGTAAGCATGATATTTGTTCTAGGTTAAAGGCTCAAACGAGTAAGCAAGCAGTTAAAGGGGCCGACAATGAAGAAAAGGTTGTATATAACTTAATTGAAGAGGCTGGTAACAAAGGCATATGGATACGGGACATTAGAGTTAGATCTAACCTAGCCAACACGCAATTGACGAAAGTTTTGAAGAATCTTGAAAGTAAAAAGGTCATCAAAGCTGTAAAATGTGTTAATGTAAGTTGATTTCAATTGATAACTTTACAAAATAACATGAATTCCAAAAAATCTGAATATACCCTCTTTGTTTCAGGCCTCTAAGAAAAAAGTGTACATGCTTTACAATTTGGAACCTGATAGATCTATATCTGGAGGAGCATGGTATCAAGATCAAGACTTTGAATCTGAGTTTGTAGAAATCCTCAATGTACAATGTCACAGATTTCTAAGCCAGAGAGCTGACAAAATAAAAAATAATCCACGAGGACCAATTGTAGGCCGCACACAGTCTTATGCCACAGCTAATGAAGTACAAAAATATATAACAGATTTAGGAATAAGCAAAGTAAGACATTTGTATTTTAATTTTGTTTATTAAATATCCAAACTAAAAACTATATTTACACAAGTAGATATTGTCAGTATTAAGCTTAGTAATAATGCAATACTGTGACACATTCTAACCATTTTATTATTGATTCAACAAAACATATAATCATTTAATTGTCTTTCTACAACAGATGACTAATAAATCCTATATGTATACAGATTTGCTTTCCCTGGAGTTATTTTAGAAGCACTGTAATGACAATTAAAAAATGTATTACAAAATGCAAAGTATGAACAACAGTTCAGTCAAAATAAATAATTTCAATGTAATAGTTATATTGTTTGTAATTATTCCATTAGGTCTCAACATACTTTGTATATAATCTTTCCTTATGGTGTTGAATAAGATAGTAATGAGCATGTTAATGTGTACTTTAGTTTTTTTAGATATTATTATAGATATAATAAGTTTCATTTTTGGTTTCAGGTTGAACTTGACGTAGAAGATGTAATTACAATTCTGAATACATTAGTCTATGATGGTAAGGCAGAGAGCAGTGTTTATCCTGATGGGAGCAAAGTATATCGAGCCATAGACCCTCTTATACCTGCACCAGGGATCGTCCAAGTGCCATGTGGAGTGTGCCCGCTAATTCATTCATGTGATTCCACCGGATTGGTCACACCACAAACCTGTGTTTATATGAAAGAGTGGCTAGAGTAATAAAATATATACAGATATTCTGTGCTTATTTATTTTCAAATATCCACTACTTTATAAGTTATTAACATTAACATATTCATGTTCTTATACCTAAACTGCACCATCAATACAAAGCAATCTAACTACAAATGTATTATATACAAAAATGTAAATAAAAGCATTAACACATCTGACTTTGTATGAACAAATCATTATGTATTTAGGTACAAGACAATTTGTTTAAAACAATAAGGAACATAAACTTTGATAAGCAAGTGATCTATGTATCATTTTACTCAGATATTTTGGTTGAGGTTCTTGTAGTTGTTCTAGACAACATAAAATTACAAATAAGATGGTAGAAAAATCTACAAAAAACCTTTGACATAAACACATGTGCATATGCCTTCTTTATTTTGACAAAAATGTTACTGGGATCACTAGTGCTCTAGGATATCCAAATACACAATAAGTCAATTCACTAGTTATTTTACTGTATGATTCAGTAAATAAAACATTAAAAAACAGGTAACAATGGCTACTACTTAACTAACTCCACTTTAGAGGCTGCAAGGCAGAAACATAATGTACACTTATCACAGGTTTTAAAACAAACTTCTAAAATTATTTTCAATATTATATAAAGCTGATGAAAGTATTGCAGATTCCCTCTTAGGGATAAATGCTTTTTCTTCAATAGCTGTTTGCTCTTCCTCAACTACAACTTTATTATTGTTATTGGGAAATAGAGAACTGAAGGCATCCATCTGGATATAGTTTAGAGATTGTAAAATCAATCCCTTGTTAGGATATGGAGTAGCAGTAATAATGGATTGTTTGTTGTAATCCTGATCATTATTGACATTCTTTGGTGGTGCAGGACTTGATGGTTCTGAGGTAGGTGGTGGAGGTACAATAGATGGAGGGCCCTTTATTTCTGGAGGAGGAGTTGTTGGTTTCTGTCCGCCTGAAAACAATAAATGATGCATCAATATTTTTAAATAATAATTACATAATGTTGAATTAACTACATACTGAAATCAACAATGCATACTTATTGAATAAATAATCCTCTCCATTTCTCTGAGCTGTGTTTGTTGTCTCTGGACAGTAAAGTAGAGATCAATGATAGTATCAGAAATGTGTTTCATTTCCTGCTCCTTCTTGGCTTCTTTTGCAGCTTCCTTATTGCTTTGCCTGGTAAATTGAAATTGTTAGTTATTTATTTTTAAACAATACAATCCTTTTCCTGTAAAATTGAATTTACAAGGTAAGGAATTTAAGAAAGTGATTAATTGAATTACCTGTTATATTCGAGTAACAAAATAGCTGCTCCTATGGTGAAAATCAAAGTTTCACCAAGTAGATTAGCTCCTAGCTCTATAGCCATTTCTTGACTGAGCACTGGTATATTAACTGGCCTACCCAAGTTTAGAATCCACATTTTAGCCTTAACTTCACACCAATTGTAGACTGAAAAAAAATTGTTACAGACAAATTCAACACAAACTACATCATCTCAGCTATTATTAATATTTTACTAAAACTGTAATTATTAGGCCAGGATGGTCTAAAAGTTTACATCTGCGAATGTAAGATTATACAAGTTATATAGGTTTAGAAAGTGAAGTGAAGTGCAAAAGATAAAATCTTTAGAATTAATTGCATCATTGATAATGCTTCAATACAAGATATAAATAAGATAGCAGGTGTTCGAATGACTAGTTATAGCTGAGGTATGATAGATACAAGAAGCCAGTGACGGCAACTACTGGTTATTTATTAATTTTTCTCTCCATTTTCAGTTGTTACGACATCAATGTGAAACTTAAGAGATTTCAACCTAATATCCCTCTGATTATTACTCATAACGTCAGACAAAAATGATAAGGTATTAATACATTATTGATACTCACATTGGGCAGGAGGCATACAAACATAAGTCCGGAAAAACGGGTTATGTTTAGCTCGTTCTTTGCAAGCATTTGCGATGGGTTTACTTATCTGTTTTATCAGCAAGGCCCCTAACTTTGCAATCGGAAATGCGCCTACAACCATTGTTATACTAAAACAATCAGCTGTATTTATTTAAGTCGCGAAATGATGCAAATTTTATTTTTATAGTATTATACAAGGTTATCAATACTGTATTTGACTGTATTGACTAATTACTATTTTTGACATAACTCTCACAGGGTTGCCAAGGTACCCAAAAAATAAGATGGTATTTTTATACCTATGGTCAACTCTAGCTTATTAAAAAGCGCGCGGCGGTTGTTATTTCGAGGTCAACTAGATTTCGTATTCAGAAATATTAATCCCACCACTTACTTTTATACTTGCAGTTAAAAAAAGCAAGTTGTATTAAGTATTATAGGTGGCTAATCTGTTGAACCAGAGAAAGCCCCTACACGTGGCAAATAGCATAGTTACATTCTGTATAAACCATGTAAGAGCACATTTTAATTTTTTTTTATTTTTCAGAACTACTGTTCTGTCAGTCAGTCAGACGCGATTCATTAATTACAATAGTTAACTCTTTGTAGGCACACCTCAAAGTAATAAAGGAATAAATAATGTACTATTCTTTTCTAATATCTTTATTTTTTTTAAATATTAAATATCCATTTTATATTGCGTAATACTAGATTTTTCGGGAAAACTGGTACGTAATA